GAGCCCACTGGAGCTGAATCCCACTGAATCCCCAGCACCAAAGTGAGCCTTGTTGATGTGAGATGTTCCACACTGGGGAGTGTAATTGCTCTCTGGTCTGTCTGCCATCCACAGAAACAGTGCATTTGCCACTTTTCTGTAGGTGAGAAAGTGAGTACCAAAATTATGACTCAAGGTCCCCACCAGGTTTTACAGCTCTACATATTTTTATATGTACACTTATATATGCATTTTACAAGGGCATGTAGTGATAGGACGAGGGATAATGAGTTTTAACTGAAGGAGGGTAGATTTCCATTAGCTGTTGGAACTGGGAGCAGTTGGCCTTTGCTTCAGATTTTGCTGAGATTGGGCAGACAGGGTTTGGGCAGGTGCAAACCTTTCCTGGTCACTCCTGCTCTCCACAACCTCTCAGACATATCAAAGACTCATAGAATGGTTTAGGTGGGAAGAGACCTTGAAGATCACCCAGTGCCACCCCCTGCCATGGGCAGGGACACCTTCCACCAGCCCAGGCTGCTCCAAGCCCCGTCCAACCTGGCCTTGGACACTTCCAGGGATCCAGGGGCAGCCACAGCTTCTCTGGGCAGCCTGGGCCAGGGCCTCCCCACCCTCACAGAGGGACAAGGTAAGAGTCAACAGGAAGCATCTGAAACTGTGGTCCCATATTTGCAAATTCTCCATGTATTTTGCTCCATGAAAATAATTTGTGGAGGGGAAGAGATAATGGCTGTTTATGAAAGTGGCAGTGTTTGTTATCACTGTGAAATAAGAGCAAATCCCTAAAAAAGTAAAATTATCTAAATTATGGGAGAGGTGGTTGAACTCCACAGTGGTGACATTTCTAACTATAAATATTGGAATGAAGCAAACAAGTGAATAATCCCTTTCCACAAAGCACTGCTCATAACAGCTGACATTTTCAGGCCCTATTTCAGTGCCTTGCTGTATGTTAAATACTATTGCCACATTAAAATATAAATTTCAACTTTGAAATGTTACAGAAATAACTCGTCATTCCCTTGAGGAACGATGTCACTGTCAATGGACTGCAAAGAAATAAGAAGACATCTGTGCAGAGACAAAGAGAACTGGAGTAGGGTATTTTAGTGCCCTTCTGGTGGAATCTGCATGGATTATTATTATTACTAATTATATTTTGTCTTTGTTGTATTGAGCCCATTCACTGCTGTGCATCCAGTTTTGGGCAGGGAACATCTGAGTTTGATTAGTAAGAAGTACTTTAAATATTTACTCTGCTACTACCAAAAGCCGTTTTGCATTTCAAAGGGGTTCATTGTATTTATTCCCTCATTAAACAACCTATTTTTCAGCTGAAGACAGGTTTTGTATAGTGAAGTGTTAATACCTGAAACCAATATCTTCTTATGTTGAGGATGTTACCTGCTGACTAAAACAAGGATCCAGCTCAACTGGGCAAGTTGCTTCCCATCTCTCCGAGACACCAGCACTCAGGAGATGTGATTGATACCTGCTTCCTCTGTGCAAAGGTGGGGGAGCTTTATTAGCTCTTTGTGAAGTTTAAATGAAAGATATTGCTCCTTTGACGTGAGGAAGACCTTGTTCTTCCTCCCAGCCTAAAGTTCAGGTGTCACAGCCTGAAGCTGGGGTAGTTGGGCTTTGGCCTATTGACCCACTGAGTCATGAAGGCACTAAGGCAAAATAAGCAGCGTGCAGGTGAGCATTGAAACCTCCAGACCTCCACTGGGAAGGGTAAGCTGATCCAGGGTAAGCAGCTCCTCTGAAGTTTAGCTTTCAGGCTGGATAATGCACCTCCCACGCCAGACAGAGCAGCTCAGTCTGAGCTTGGCTGCCATGGAGGACTCTGTCACCAGCCTGAAGGGGAAGGTCCTGCTACTGCGACACTTTTAGGGCTTAACTGAGTGTTCTATTTTTATATTTATTCCCAGGAAGTATTTGCACAAGAGTTTATGAGCACAGGGAGTGACTGGCTGTGGCACTCAGTGCTATGGGCTGGGTGACAAGGTGGGGATCAGGCACAGGGTGGACTCCATGGTCTTGGAGGCCTTTTCCAACCTTAATGACTCTATGATCCTATGTTGTTTTCCATGAAGGTGTGTTTGTTTATTTTCACATTGTTTTTGGTCTTACAGACCTTCTCCAGCTCAACAGTTACATCTGAGTACACTCCTGATCCCAAGCTCAAGCAGAACATTTAATTGCTAAGAGACTTCCTGTACACAGAGCTCTTAATTGCAATTAGAGCATAATACATGAGGAGGCTCCATCCACTCATGTGGACTGGGGTTGTAAACTTAATTTCCCATCACATGACTTCCCTGGGTATTCCATGGTGGTCATGAAAGACACCAGTTATAATATACAAGCCCCATTAAATTTTCATCCATGTTCAGCTTTGGTGGTGATCTCCTGTATGTGATGTTCTCCTTCACCCAGGAGTACTTTCCCTTGATAAACACTGATGGAAATGCAACCCAAGTGAACTGATATCATCTCCCTTTTCCATTCTGAGGGTAGTTACTCACAGTTTTGCTCTGTTTGCCACCTGCCAAGGATCAGTTGGCTCAGAGAAGGACTTGCTGTGCCTGAGTGACTCCAGCATCTCCCCACAGGCACTGCTGTGACAGTCTCCTCCAGTCACCCAGAAGTCTCTTGCCAGCCATTTTCAGGCTCAAGGGTAGCATCAGTCTCACGATGGAAAACCTTATGAAAATGAAAGCTCTTGTAACCACCAGCAATCCAGGAACCCTCCTTGGCTGTCACACAACCCTGTGATTTCCCACCCAAGAGATGCTTCCCAGAAAACAGATACTTCTTTTTAACCAGAATTATTTTTAAAAGGTACTTTTTAGAGGTTTGTCTTTTAAGAGCAGTGGTATCAAGAGAACCATCACGAAGTCTGTCAGTGTTCCATGTCTCCTAAACAGTTGATAGCACTGCTCTGTCTCTAATCAAAACCCACCCAATACTTAGTGACAAACCAGCTTAACCTGCTTAAAAATAACAGCACCAATTCATTGAGGTTTTTACAACACCTGATAGAGGAAGATAAACAGAAAATATTTTTGTCTTGCTTAACTTTGTTTATGATGGCATTATGCAGGAATGCCTCTGGCTTACATATAATTTCCTTGCTCAAAGCCCTCCAAAGATTAGTGAGTGTGTCAAAATGGGTTTGTACAAAAGCAGCCCTGGGGGCCAAAACGTGGAAATTCTACAGTAAAAAAGCCTTAAACATATGAGTGTGTCATTTGTTCTTAGTGTAAATTTAAAAGCATTATCATTATATTAAGGACTTCAAATGTTTTCTGTTCCCTTCTGCTTTACAGGAAAATTCTTGCTGTGCTCCTAAAGATTCAGCAATTTTCAAAAGACAATTTCCCTTGTATTTTTTATTACTGGATTTGTAGAGCAATTTGATCCATTCCATATTCCTCCCTGGGAGGGTGGGGAGGCCCTGGCACAGGTTGCCCAGAGAAGCTGTGGCTGCCCCTGGATCCCTGGAAGTGTCCAAGGCCAGGTTGGACGGGGCTTGGAGCAACCTGGGCTAGTGGAAGGTGTCCCTGTCCCATGCCCCTGCCCCTGGATAAATTTAGTATCCCTTCCAACCCAAACCATTCTGGGATTCTATTGACTGGATTTTCAAAGCAATGCCACAATTTCAGCATCCAAAGTTGATTTCTTTACCATTAAATCCTTAGCACCAGGTGTTTGGAAGTATTTAAGCCTCCAAGAAAAGCAAAAGGTTCAGGTGCTTTTGAAAATACAAGCAGGGCTCTGTATTTTTCCCATGTTACCCAGAAGCCTTTTTTGTTGGAAAAGGCATGAAGGTCAGTCTGTCTGCCCTAAAATTTCTAGATCAGGAGATGAAAACAGTGGGGTTGCCTGTCTTGTTCATCCTTTGGGGAGATTTTATGCTACTTTACATGGATATTGGGCCATGATTATGTGTATTGCACTCAAAAAATACAGGGAGATGCCTGCAGAGAGATCAGACCCTAGGGATTTACCCTACAGCCGGGCTGGGAAGTGAGTTAGATGCCTAATGGGATTTTCAAAAGGACCTTAATAGATTAAGCATCCAGTTACCCGGAGATTTAGGAACCTCATTTTCTTTGCATTAGATTTTCCTTTGAAAATGCAGTGTCTGGGTGCCAGCTGCATCCCTAGGGGTACTAAGACCTCTGGAAATTGGGCTTTTAGCAATTTTCCAGGCAGCACATGATGTCAGTGAGCAAATGCAAGAGCTCTGTAGGCTGCTGGCAGGGGCTCTCTTTTTGGAGCTCATCCTTGGGCACTAATTCTCATTAATGCATGAGAATGTCTGGCTGACATGACCAAAAATACCTGTAAATAAAGATATCCAAAGTGACTCCTTGGCCTCTTCATTTCACATTAAGTTTTATGGAAGAAATAACACATATTTGTAATTATTACTTATGGAGGGAAAAAAGGAAAATTTTAAATCCACTTTAAATTTTGCCTTCAAAAGACTGAATTAAATTATTTTTATCTCTTCTGGAGGTCTTATTTATTTCCTACAGTGGCTGAAAACTTCCTGTGCATCATATTTATTTCTCTTTTAACCCTCTCCTTTAAAGGTCTGCATCCTACACTCCCTCTTGTTTTTCATGGAAATTTTTACCATGAATTAAAAGGAGCAGACAGAGTTGGGGTAAAGGACATTTTATTTAACTTGGCCTCTGCCTGGACCTACATATTTGTTTATGATTGTCAAGGTTCCTGCTTTCATCCAGGCAGAAAATAGTTGCTAAGCAGCAACTTTGCTTTATAAAAGACAGAGCCAGGGCCTGATCCTGCCCTGACTTGTGCATGTGGTTGCTTACAGGGTTATCCCAAGGAAGGTGACTTGGATATACCTCCCACCTAAGAGCTGACACATGTCTCTGTACAACTCACAGAGTGTCTTGGTTTGGGCTGGGATAGAATTTTGACACACACACATACATATATATAAATAAGTTCTATTTGTGTTCTTGTACGTATTTCTGGGTGTGTCAGTACAAATTGATGTAAAAATTAGTATCTGTCCTCTTAAATGCATTCATTTACCTAAACTGTGCTGGTGGTATGAAGCCAGTCCATGGATTTTTTGCCTTGGAAAAATCCATCATAAAAACCTCGCATCGGGCTTTTGAGTTTCCTGCAAAACCAGAGAGGTTCACAATGTACAAAAGAACTGTCAAGTCATGTCTCAGCCTTTCTTGCATCATCGTGCCTCTGCCATTCTTTTTACTAAAAATAACTCATTTGTTGAAATTTATGCGAGTGTGTGAGGTGAATGGAACTGCACAAACGTTGGAGATGTCACTCAGCAACCCTTCCCTGAGTTTTTGACCTGGGACACAGCAGCCAGGAGGATACATGCTGTCCTCTCAGCTCACAAAGCAGATCAAAAGCCTTAGAGGTGATGAGTGCAAATATATGGATTTCACATATTTATCAGACAAATATAATATGCTATGTGAATATTGTAAAATTAGTGGTGTGACTTCAGCAAATCCAATCTAAAGTGCTGTAAAGCCGCTGCTCCCACAGTCTGGGAGCACCTGGGAGATGCTGGGAGCACAGACTGCTCCATCTTGGGATCATGGCAGGGACCCAGGCCAGGAATGCCATGATGTTACTCCAGAAGAGCACAAAGAGTTCCCTTTGGAGGCACATCCCAGTGAGGTTAGATCCCTGGCACAAAAGTTGGAGCAAAACAAAATAAGGTTCAAAAACAAGTACATGAAGACCAGGTTGTTACAGCTCTGAAACACCACAGGAAGAGGCCAAGGAAAAGCTGGTCTTAATCAGCAGTGGTTGTTTTGCTAATCCAGATGGGATTACACAAGATACTTCGACGAGAATTTCACTCTCACCCTGTACCTGCATTTATTATTTTTTTCAGCAGACCCACTTTCATAGGCTTTAATGTTTAATTAACTGTAAATGAACACATTCCCAAAGAAGTGCCAGTGTAACTGGAAATTCTCAATTTTCCCCACTGCTGCTAACATTAATTTGTTTCACTATATCTTAAATAATACAATTCCAGTACCTCCAACCTGAATTTTAGATGTAATCAGATATATATCTCCCATATTCTGTAACATCATGTCAATATCTGAGTTTATCACAACTTCTCAGCACAAACTTAATGTTTGGCCCAAATCTCCAGTTCTTGGGAAAAGTTACTGCCATTTCTCTTTGGTGTTGAAAAGCAGAACTGATTTAAAGTGTATTTTTAAACAGCCAGTGGGAAGTTAAAAAGAGAAGTCACATGCATGACTCATGGTCCTGGAAACAGCTGCACTGCTTTTGGTGACAAAGGGCTGGTTTAGGCCTTATGTAACTCCAGGAAAATCAATATGCAGCAAATGTACTGACCCAGAAAGGAATCTGAGCCCAAATTAAAAAAATTACACAAACTGGCTCCTCTCGTGTCTTTAAATGGGGGTTCTTTGTCCCCCCACATCTCTCACTTGCTGTGATGAGTGATGTGCTGGCAGTAGATTGGGTCACTCATAGATCAGAACAGGTTCAAAGCTAATCACTGCTGTACTGGGAGTGTTTGACAACACGAGGAGTATGTTGGGCTATTAAAAAATCCCAAAATTCAGGCTGCACCCACCCTAACTGTGGGCAGCTTCTGGAGAGATAAAAAGGACTACATTCCAGTACCATTCCCCTGGAATTCAGCCTCCAGAGACCTCTGCAAGTACAAAACTGCTTATTTCCACACCTCCACAGGACTCAGGAAACAGGAGCAGCGATGCTGGTTGTCTCTTTTAGGCACAAGTTCTGTTTGATACCAAAAATGCTGGACCATGAAGGAGTAAACTCTTCCTCAGTATGTATTCAAAGTGGTTATTTTTGTGCCTGGCTGTAGTTAGTTTCCCAATACCCCTGAGTGTTTTATCTGCTGTTTATGGACACTGTATTCTGCTCACAGATTATTGGGCACTGTAGTACACAAAACTAAAGCAAATCCAAGTATCTAAGATACATATTTAGCAACCCCAGGCCTATTTATAGGCCCTCAGGCCAGTGGTCCATCCCATGGACAACTGGGAACAGAAAATGGTGTTTCAGGAGAGCCCGTAATCCAATTCCTGTGGTCCCTCCTACTGCCCTGAGTTAGGGATATTAGAGGATACATCTCTGACTATTCCCTGTAGTAGCTATTCATGTACCTGTGTAATCTCATTCCAAATCAGCCTCCATCACCTCCTCAGGATGCAAATTCCAGAAGTTCATTACATGTCATTCAAAGAAGTACTTTCTTCAATTAAAGTTTCAAATTTACCTTTTATCTGTTTCAACCTATGTCTCCTATTACTGATGGATTTAGGGAATAACAGTTTGTCATGCACCCATCAGATTCATCAAAGGCCAGGCTGGACAGGGCTTGGAGCACCCTGGGCTAGTGGAAGGTGTCCCTGCTCATGGCAGGGGGTGGCACTGGATGCACATAAAATGTCTGTCATATTTCTGTTTTCATAGGAGATCAGCATCATCCTGAAAAAACTCCTCCTTTGTTTGTTATGAATGGAATTCCAGGTGACTGTAGAATAGTCATCCCAAGTAATCCAACAGGCTGTGCAATAAACTGTTGTAGATCATCTCTGCTTTGCTTGTACAGCAGCAAGAAAGGGATCCCTTCTTGTGACAGCTGTTGTCATCCCTTCCCCTTCTCCTGAAGGGAATGTTAGTCCAGCTGCAGCTTGTGCCTCTTCCCCATTAGCTCATTTTCTGTATTTCAGCCATTTCAATCATGTGTCCACCACCAAACCCCAATGCCCTGAGAGCGAAGCACAACACCCAGCCAAAGGCACACTGCAGTGCCATCCTAGTCCCTGGAATCTGCTCAGCCCCTCAGCACAAAGAGGAGGCAGCAGGTGAATGATCCAAGATATTGCTTCAACCACACAGACTCAGGACATGTGTTTCCCATGTCTAGGAATAGGTTTCCCACTCCTGTTCTCCGGACACAGCAGCAGCTGCACGTACAGTGCCGGTGGTCTGAGACAGGAGAGCAAGTGTTGCAGCCTCTGCCAGGGGAGGAATGACATCCAGCTCCACCAGCTGCTCCCTGGCCTCAGCTGGGAGGGAGGGAGGGAGCAGCCTGGAGCAGGCAGAGAGAGTTCCCAAGGAGTCAGTGTCAAGAGGTGTGGTGGGCAGAGGTGGGTTTTCAGGCAGAGGAACCAGAGGTGGGCCTGGGAATTTGAATGGAGACTGGAAAAATGGCCATGGATAATAATGAGCTAAGCAAGCCCCAAGGTAAGGAGGAGTCAGGACTGGCAAAGTCAAGTTTGTCAAGAGAGTTAGTTTGTGGCTAAAGATGGATTGAGTGGAGAAGGGTAAGGGAGGGTTACTGCTGACAGGAATGATGTCAAGGTGTCAAATGATATCTCCTTCATTCGGCCTGTGTGGTTGGGTTGGGTTTGGAGGTTTTAATTCTGAAATTGGGAAGTCCTGGAAAGTTTGAGACTGTTCCTTGTTCTATCTCCTCCACCAAACTTTTCACTATGACCATGCCATTACCCATTCTTTCCCCAAATATGCAGTTCCTAGTGCCAGGATTTAATTTTTCAGGGAGGTAGCTAGGAAGGATGGGAAGATACTACAGCAATACCTGCAGCCAGCCAGTTATTTTGGCCATCAGCCTTCAATGATGACTTAAAAAACCTCAAGTATTTTATCTTATCCAAATGATAATTCATCTTTCTGGATATTTCCTCCCCAAAATCATCCTGGGTCATTCATATTCATAAGGTGCATGTATGTGCATGAGTCACATTGCTCTTTGCATCACACCAGAACAATGGCTTTAGGGTGAAAGTGTGTATACAGGACCTGGGTGTTCCAAATTTAACTCACAGTTTTGCTCCATTCTTCCTTTGTGACTCAAACCAATGACTTGGCCTTTTTGAGCCTCAGCTTCTAAAGCTGCAAAATGAGGTCTGTAAATCTCTCTGAGCTGCTGTGACACTACAGTCATTCATTTTTGTGATGGGATCAGAGATTACGGCAGGGAAAACTTCAAGAAAAGTAAGTATGGTAGAATTCCAAATAAATTCACTCATAAAAAGGGAGTGACTATAAAACCAAAAGGGACCCAGCTTTCACTTACAGATTTCAAACTGGACTTTATAAATGGTAATGCCACTTCCCCTTTCCCATCAAACACATCAGATGTGTTCATTTCGACGTGAAAGGAAAAGATAAGGTATCCCATAAAAGTACCACAAGGTAGAGCCACTGGGGATTGTTCTCTCTAATGAAGAGTCAGTAATTTATCACCTTGGGGTTTGCCAAAAGTCATAAAAGCAGGCAACGAAAATTAGTGAAGAAAGGACATTCAGAAGACAGACCATAAATGAACAGGAGGCAAAAATTAAGAGATGAAGATAGATTATCAGTTCTGGGGGAAAGCAAGACAACATTCTCGACTTCTTTTTAAACTTCAGGCCTCAGGACTGATATAAAAGGAACATCTGCTTTGTTTGCTCTAGTATCTCCTAGAATTCACAAAAGCTGAATACACACTCTGGTTTTTGGAGTGGCCATGAGAGTTTTTGGGTCTGAAACAGCTTGTAGAAAACCACTAGTGCCTTTTACTCTTGTCCCTAAATACATATCATTCCTAATGCTGAAGACTTAGGTGGTAATTAAGGATGTAAAACTGTAAGTAAACCCTGCTGCAATTACCTGAGTAATCTGGTTCAAATCAACTCACAGGGCTGATGGAAATGTTACTGCAGTCAATTATTTCCCACAGTTGCACAAGGGCCCGGTTCTTGTTCCCACTGAGTTCAAAGGTAAACAGGCTTTTAACTGACAGGAGCAGGAACTTGCTGTTGCTGGTAGGGATGGCTGCAGAGCTTTGGAGCTGGAACAAAACACACACAGCAATTAGCTTGGCACCACAGACAGCATGTTCCAAACTCTCCATCTTATATATGACAATAACTGAGTCCTTAACACCAGGGTCAAAATAGAGTGTTTCATTTTAATAAAAATTGAGTTTGTTGTTCCACTGCCTCTCCTGGCTGTGCTGGTAGGTTAATGCCCAGCCTGTAAGGATGGCACTGTGGGATACACATACACATACATTCATTCAAAGGACTTAGCTGGGCATTCCACCCAGCACAATTAATGCTCCTGGGTAACACGAGCCTGTAGCTGCTCTCACTCTGTGCTAGAGGGATGGGGCCAAAGAGGGACAGGCATGACCTTCCAGTGGAATGTGCAGTACTCAGGAGGGCACAGGGACGTGACACCGAGTGTATGTTACAGACTCTTGGTGCATTTAGTTTGTCCCCATGGGCAGAGTGCTGGAATTTTAAATCTCTCCAGCCTTTTTGTCCCCTCTCAAGGCCTTGGGGTAATTCAGATTCTGGAGGGGAGACACTGGTGATGCAGGAAAAGTGTCTCTTGCTCCAAATTGCTCCTTACACTTTTCCCTGTGCTGCTCTGTCCTATGACATGACACTGATGGAATCAAAGAGAATCCATGTCTCAGAAAGTTATTTTTCAGACACTGCCAATACAGAGTGAGGACACGATTACACTAGATTTCTGTGTTCTATGGAATAAATGATGGAGTTTAAAGTTAATTCATTGCTCTTCATCAAGAAACAGTGTAGCTCACCTTTGGCTTGTTCCTGTGCACATGAGAAAACTGAGAAAAGCAACCCTCAAGGAGGGGTTCTCATTAACCTCCTGCCTTCCTGCCAGCAGGAATAGCAATTCTCACAGCAGCAATAGCTTTCCTTTCACAGGACACAAAGGTTTTTCTAGATTTTTCTTCTTTTTTTTTTCCTAATTAAGTTAGTCATAGCATTATTGTGGCTGAAACATATAAGCAGAGTTAAAGTAGCTTTAGAAATCTACCCTTCTGCTTGTGCAGAGATTACAAATGCGCAGTCCAACTCCTAAATAGATTTTGTTCTCATAGCTTTATGTTAGCATTAATTAAAAAAATAAAATTGAGGGACACTGGGCTCTTCTGTAAAAGCTGAAAAAAGAGCTTTGCTTGTAAAAGAGATTTCACAGTGTTATCATTCTTAATATTTGAAGAAACACTCATAATTTAAAATTTCTAACTCATTTTTCTTCACATTTTGATTTTTCATTAGTAACGAGGTAGCTTCAGATGGAGAAAAATAAAAAGAAGGAGGAGCAAATAGGGAGCTCCCAGGCTGCAGTACAGGCAGCAAACATATAAGTGCAACCTCAAGGACAAATAGTACAAAGCTCTTACTTGCAGGCACAGTCAGAAGCTGGCAGAAAGCTGAGGGGTCAGGAAGGCAAACAATTCAAGTGCAAAGTGTTTTATTGTAACCCTCTGGACAGGATGTTTCAGCCAAAGAAACTATTGTCGTTATGGAACACGAAATACCTACAGGTGTATGGAAAGAATCAGCATTTTTATAATGTACAAGTAGAACATACTTGCAAATACCACTGCCCAGCAACCACAACTTAATACAGCTGGAAAGCATTTAATTTTAACTAGGCTCCTGGTCCTAAATAAACAATGACCACATTTCAAGTTCTACAGGAAAGCCATAAACTAGAGATTTTTTAACAGCTCATGCCTGATCAGAAACTCTTGAACATGTGTACTCCAAAGGATCAGACTTTAGTCCAGTCTCCTTAAAACCAAAGAATCCCAGACTGGTTTGGGTTGGAAGGGACTTTAAAGCCCATCTCGTTCCACCCCCTGCCACCCCCCTGGCCAGGGACACCTTCCATTGGAGCAGGTTGCTCCAACCTGGCCTTGGACACTTCCAGGGATGGGGCAGCCACGAATGTGCCACTCCATTTGCTGGGGATCAGATCTGAATATCAGCTTTTGATTTGTCTGCTCCAAGAATGGTGACAGGACAGGTACTGCTTTGAACACATCCACACTCGTGAACTGATGTTACATCTGGGTTAAACACTGTCCCAGGCCAAGGGAAAATAACTTGTAACATAAAGAAAGTAGGATCTCCATGCCCAGGATGGATCTGCTGACAGTTGCCTGGGGAGAATTGTCTTGAAAGAGTTATAAAAGCTGTAATTTTTCAAAGATTGTCGCAGTCTTCTCTGTGCAAGATATACCTGCAGCTGGGAGCTCACACGAGGCTTCATCCCAAAAGCTGTTGTCTTTGAGATGGCAGGACTGATCCTTCAAGGACAGGTATTCAGAAGAAGGGGTTTTTTTAAGACATTAACTAGCAGCTCTCTCGGAATCCTCTGTACATTTTCTGTGGACTTAATCCAATGGAATTAATTAGAGAGACTTCTATTTGCTTAATGGAAATGAGACAAGGCATAATTTATAGCCCTGTTGTGGCAGACAGGCTCTGGCTTTCTGTCCAGCACAAATCAAGGAAGGTGACTCTGGTGGAAGAATGGGAAGGAAGAAGGGAAAGATGTTTACATTGTTCAAGAAAGATGAACAGAGACTTGATAGAGAACCTGCCTTCAAAATGTAAGGCCATGGCTATTAAACCTGGGTCTTTTAATACTCCTCCATAGTGCTTATAAATTTCCTACAATCTTTGCTCCTAAGTAAAGGATTTATCCAAGATCATCATTGCTTTGCCACAGGGAAAGGAAAGGAGATGAAGTGCCCTGCTCAGAGTAGCTCTTATCAGCCAGCCAGATGGCAAACGAGGTGCCAGAGTTTACAGGAAAGAGTCCAGTGTGGACCATCAATCCCAACACAGCCCAAACAACATTAAAATGTCATTGCTAAGGACTCTGAGAGCCAAGGCACAGACAAAATGTGTTCTACACAAAGACTTCTGCAACCAGAATAAATTATGGAAAACCTCTCCAAAATGCAGCAAGGAAAAGCTATGGATGAGTAGACTGGTGTGAGAATTACAGAGAACAAAAGGAACCTTCAGTTGCAATACATATCTATATATAATTTAAATATATACACAATAAATGACAATTCACTAAATTGTATTGGGTTTCACAAAGCGTTTTGTTCACTCATAGAAACAAGTTTTCTCTTTAAAACCAAAGCAGGGCCCAGATCCTTGGCTGGTGGTGTCCCTGGCTCAGGTGCTGCACTGCACTGACCTGTGCTAGTCTGGCCACACTCTGTGATGCTGGATTTAAAGACATATTGTAGAATGATTTGTCTTTATGTGAAGAGAAAAAGGTCTTGTTCTTACTTCTAGGACTAGCTTATTTTTTCTGCATTTTCTCCATTTTTAGTGCAGCAATCCAAGCCCTGTATTTTGTTCTCACCACATCTAATATTTTCCCCTCTCACGTGGTTTTCACAACACAGCTTTGTCAGAAGCAGAGTTTGATGTTATGACATCAAGGCTTCGCAATATCCAGAATTAACAAATGCAGCCTTTCCTTTAGCCATTGGACCTTTAGATGAGACATGTGGGGACAGGGACCAGCAGAAGAGCCACACCAGAGTCAGGGACACCTACAAACCACCTGGCTTAGGAGGAACACGCCACTGGCATGAAAAGCAAGAAGGCCTTCCAACTCAATCCCACTAGTCCCTTCCAAGAATGTGTTCTTCTTCAGAAATCAATTAAGATTTAGCATGAGTTTCATTGGGAAGGATTGCAAAGTTTCTAGCAATTTGAAATTAAAGTATTTGCATGTCATAGAAGTCTTTTCCATCATCACAGGAAATACAGTTGTCCAGAACAATGGTGTTTTAATGATGTAAAATAATTTCATGTTGATTACTAAGCAAGGAGCACAGGAAAAAACCCTTTTTGTTTCCAGGAGTGAGTTTGGGTCATCAGAATGCAACCGGCCCAAAGGAGATGCTGCCTGAGGTCCTGGCTTAGACATGCTTCCCAAAATCCCAACCGTGTTCCCCTGTCTACATGAAGAGAACTGGGAACACTCATCTGCTAACTGTGCTGTGGGGAAGATGCTACTCTTGCTCTCTGACGTCTCAGTCGGTGGCTGATAATGAAAACTGACGGTGATTCATAAAGACATCTCCTTTCCTGAGAAAACTGGAACAGCAGCTTGCGTAATCCCGAGATTTACTTAATTAAGGAACATCCCAGCTATTTGATCATGGTTCCTGTCTCTTGTCTTCACCTCCTGCTCCCTCCCAGCTTTGCCTCTGATTACAATGGCCCTGATAAGAAACTTCATTCACAAAGCAAGCAGAGAGTGGGAAGGCAGGACTGAGGTGTGGCTGGTGATTTAAAAACTGAAAGGAGGCAGTGAGAATGTCTCAGGGAAATCGGGATTGTCCTGTTTGCTGCAGGTAAAGTGAGAAGCTGGGGAGGGCTCAGTTGCAGTGTGGGCACTGTGTATCTCAGAGAGGTGTGTGGGTGAGGAATATACCTACAGCTTTAATGCCTGCTTCCGAGGAGACAAGACCATTATTTGCAGTATTTTGAAGCACTTTCTGCTTGAAATCTCAGAAACACCCAACTTTAGTGTTTTGAAACACACTTCTGCACCGAGATTCTTGAAAAATTATAGAGAAATGGGTAAACATTATAATATATGACAATATATCATGCACATTTGACCGGCAAGACACTGGAGCTGTATCTAACATAATCTACAGGTTTCCTATTTCCTGACCAAAGTGGCCTCCGAATCCGGAGGAAGTACACAGGGAAATTGCACAGGGAAGTGTATCGCTGCCTTCCAGGTGACCTTGGCACTTTAAATCAGGAAGCAAACATGGAGCCTCAGCCTTCACCCGGTCCGTGGATTATTTATGATGATCTTGCAGCAGCTCTCAGGCCCAGCCATGAATCAGGAACCCGCTGCACTGTCTCACATACAAACACATAACAAACAGACAGGGCCTCAAATACCCCTCATTTATCAGCAGGGATGTTTTCAAATTACTTTCCCTGGCAAGACAGGATTTATTGTGAAGAGAGTGTGTGGATATTTCTCATCCAGCTGGGAAAATGCCGTTCCCAGGGGGTTCCAAGGTGCTGGAAGAGGCGAGATGGAGCTGGCGTTGCCTCACACACAGGGCAGGCTGCCAGGGAGAGTTCCCAGCATTAAGCATGACATTTTTTGGTCAACTAGATATGACCCCTTGAACTACAGCCCAGAGCAACGAGGGGGAGTCATGGCTGAGGGGCGGCCATGGCTGAGGGGATGACATGGCTAAGGAGGTGACATGGCTGAGGGGATCATGGCTGAGGGGGTGACATGGCTGAGGGGATCATGGCTGAGGGGATCATGGCTGAGGGGATCATGGCTG